GGGTTCGCACTACTGCTTGTCCCCGGATATAAATAAGGAAAAACAAAACGCTGCTCTCGTCCACACCCATTAACCGGTCGCGTTGCAACCCGGCGCCATTACTGCATCAGACCAAGACCGAGACGACAGACAGCCCAGCCTGGACGAGAGATGAACCCATCAGCGGGGAAAGGATATAGAACCCGATCCCTGACAGTGATGGGCACCTCTTGAAGCTCATCCCGCATCTTTGCCGAAATGAGCACTTTACATCATAACTCTCTTTCTGTCTGCGTGCAGCAAGGGCCCGCAGGGGTAACCCGAACCCCCGGATAACGCGAGCTTCGCACAACGGACTTTCTTCGCGACGTAATTTTCAGTTAACGCCAATCTTTTTTTTTTTAATTAGGGAAAACAGTACTTCTACAATTCATGTACAGTATTTCTATACTGTAGTGGCTTTGAAGGCCTTCTAATGTTTCTAGCTCTTTTTTTCCCGATACTTTTTCGTGTTACTTTTGGTATTTTCTGATGAGCGCATAATTCATTCAACAGTTTATTCGAAACATTCTGGAAGAAATTTTCGAGAGATCTGGGCCATTTCTCGCACCTGCATGCACCTCCAGTAATTTGGACATGGGTGAATAAAATACACTACCCAATCACTAGCCATTAGTTTTTTTTTCAAGATGTTTGATCAGAAACATGACTAAACACTGCACTTCGTGTTTCCGAGGTAAATCTTCTCAATCAGATTTTTTATTGCATTCAGATATTTTAAGCATCTTTCTAATCAAACATTCAAGGATTCCTACTTTCGGAGTCGAGCAAAAGTTATTTCCGTCCTGTTTTAAGGCTAGAAAGGAAAACTGAAGATGCATGTATACCGTATATACTTTATGAAAGTATTTTCAATTTCATCAGTTTTTGAGCTTTGTTTCATGATTCGTTCTGGTGAACTTTTCAGTGATGCAGCATATAAATTGGAGGAAATTTCGTGAAGCAATCATTGCGATGAGTTTTCGCTTTTATTTTTCAAAACGAGAAAATGTTTGCAACGATGATACCGTATAGCGTCACGATGACTGAAGCAAAAAACCGATTTCTTCAGAATTGATTTTTTTAAAGGAATATTTCCCTCGAACTTTTGTGACTTCGTATGGTCATGATTCTGTTGATGAAAAACCAAAGCAGAATTTTCTCAGGAATATGCTGTATATAAAATGAAATATAATTCGTTGCAATATAAATAATTTCTTACTCATGCGTTGCATTCGACGGCGAAAAAAAAAACAATGACGTTTTCCAATAACCTTCCCACATCGGATGCGTTCCAACCAAAACTTCGTCCTGATTTCCGCAATTCAAATGCAAGCATCGTCCCACTGCCATAAGGTAATGGAAAGTATGTATGTGTCCACGGAGTGTCCAATCAAGGACAAGAACTCTTATTTTGGAATGGTTTTGGGAAATTATTCAAACGACTGCGAATGCGAGAGCACATCAGATTACAAGGCTACATCAAACCGTATCCATAAAAGTAATACCAGAAGCCGTCGGACAAAAGCTGGGAGTTCAATGAGTAAGTTAAGATCAACCCTGTTTTTGTTTTTCCTCGGATGAAAGGAAGTTTTCATTGCCTCCTTTTCAAAGAGCGAAGACTGAATTCTTAGAGAATGAGAAATCAATACCGTCATGCAGAATTAGAATCGAAATGTCAATCCACAATTGGAGGAACATATGATTTTTACTCGCTAAATAGCATTCAAACAAACACGAATTTATAACATCCTATATTCGTCATTGATTATATATGAAGCGAATGGCCGACAGTTCGAGAATTGCACGCTTATTGCGACGGTTGCACTTCCTTTTCTCGTTTCTTCCTCCATTTTTTTTTCTCTAGGGATCTCTAAATCAAGAAGTACGGTATTTTAAAACATACCATGTACACTCATCTCAAATTGTTTACTCTAACGTTCTTCATAGCCAAAAACTGAAATCATGCTGCCAGAAAAATGAGCAACCCATTGAAGGTTGAATGTGAAATGTAGCAAAAGGATTCATTAAGCAGGAAGGTTGCTGATTTTTGCACGCGAAGTGTTCATTTCCTCTGCGACTTTTTGGAAAAGTTTTGCACGCATCATTCAAATGTATGTTTCTCTTTTTGGAAATTTTCACCGAGGATTTCCAGCCGCATCTATGGCTTAATGGTTATTTTTTTATAAATTTGATTCAAAACCGCTCTTTTTTGTCAAAATATGGGACCAAGTCAGTCAAATCCACTTTGTAGAGGGCACAAAAATTGATTTTCAACTAAAAACGTTACTGAAGTTTGGATTTCTTGAAGAGAGATAAAATCCAAGGTAGAAAGTCGAAGAGGGAATCCAAGATACGGGAAGCTCATGATTGCCATTGTGCGGGTTTAAAATTTAAAAAATTATTCAAGAAAGGTAAAAAAAGTAAGAGATGTCCACAAATTCAAAAGTGATTCAATATCCGGAAGTTGAACCTCGTTTATTACCTCTTCGCTCAAAATGCATCACCTCTCTCTCTCTCTCTCGAAAAATGAACACGTTGCTCAATTGCCAATCAAGCGCTTATTACTCAATTTATTACGTTATTATATTCGAAGTTATTGTAAAAAAAAATTAATAGGCTATACGTTGTGAAACCTTGATTGTATGGACACGGGTTCAATTTATAGAATTCTTCTCTTCATGGTAATCCGAGCCTTTTGCTGCGGATAACCGTTGAATAAAACATGCCGTTTATTCACAAACTGGGCCGAAAGGTGCCACGGAATCGATGCATTAAGCAACTGCTTCGCAACACAATCCCTCGTCTGCAATTCAGAAACCTTAGTCCTCCGATTCGAAAAATAAACACTCGCTCATTGCGCAGTTATTCAATTCGTCTCATTTCCCCCATCCCCTTCTTATACCAGAGAGACACGAAGACGATGTATAAAATAAAAAGAAAACAGAAGAGCTACACGACGGAATACGTGGAGAAAATAAAAGAAGAACCCGTGGGTGAGGAATAAGAGAATCGTGTCTGCCAAGGAATCACGTTTCGACGCGCGGTTTCGGTTTTATTCATGCCCGTATATTTACGATGAGGCGATGAGAAAGAAAAAAAAATGAAATAAATAAAACCCTCGTGACCAGGTGAGACTTTATTGTCACCTGGGTCGTGTATGAATAAAATTTTCGAGGCCTTTTATCTGATGCGGATGGAATTCCAGAGTCTTGTTTTATTCCTTCGCATTTCCCGACCGGAGTCCTTGTGTCGGCCAATTATTTGCGGCCGACGCTTTACCACGCTTTACGAATCAACAAGAGCACCTCATTCGATCGTCATTCCGGACTGGGATCTGGGTTGCATGTTTCGCCCCCCGCCACGGGACAAACAAGGTGACTGGCGTCAAGAATAAAAAAGAAGAAGATGTTTATAAGTAAGTAAGTAAATAAGTAGAGCTGCAACAAGTAAAAAACACACGATAGCCACTGTTACTAAGCTTTGCTCCCCGCCTGCTAAACAAAAACATCGATTCCGACCGCAGGGGATACTTCATTTTAAATAGAGAAGAAAAAGAGGAGACGATTTTTGGACGTAGGGCAAGATAACTTTTGTTTTAGGCTTTATCGGTAAAATTACAAAAACAGAATAAGTTTCTGCAATACTGTACAGTGTAACTGAATCTGTGCCTTGCCGAAAGATTCACGGATTACCCTACAGTCAAACTTATCTCAGTGAATATTTTCTACGTTATTCCTGTCTTTTTTCATTCGTCGTTAGTCAAAGCATACTTCAGAAGTCAAAGAAAAGAAAAGTTTCGACTGAAAGCTTTTCTTCAGGAAGCATCACTTCTATTGCCTTCATGAAATATTTTATGACCACAAGACCACAATATATGCTGCTTTAATGAAAAGTATGTGCGTACATGTAAGTCTATTCCACATCCCAATTAATTTATTTTAAAGGGTTATATCTACAGTATATTAAAAGTGTTTCTTCAGAAAAACTCTGGAACGTTTTTCTTCAGTAAAAAAACCATGAGAAGTAAAACAAATCCTGGGCACTGGCCCAAGATCAGTTTTTGGGGTTTTCAATGTCCCGGAAATTTGGAGGTTTTTGACAGCAAAAGATGCCAGATGTTCTCAGAAAACTTGTTCCAACTAAAAAATCTAATCAACCATATTTGGGAATGAAAAAAAAACCTTAAGAAAATTGGCAAGATTGTTTTCTTTCCATTCAATTTGTGAACCACCTCATTGACTGGTTCGGGAACCATTAAAAAAATCGAATTCTACAATAGGCATAAAACCAATGGAACTATAAAAAATAAGAACAGTAGCTATTTTGCATTTGCTTCGAGAAAATCATGGATCTAGCAAGTTCTCCAACACACAAGACGAACTCTTCTGGCAGAACTCTGAATTGTTTCGAGAATTCTTCGCATACAAATCCCTGAGAAGCTGAAAACAAGTTTACCCACGTCTCATGGGAAATACTGTAGTCAAAGGTCCATCGCGCATCATCAATCAAAACCTCAAACTAACTTTCAAAAACTTCTTCGCTCAGATTGAGTAGAATTTTTCTCTTACTCACCAACATAAGGCCACCTTCTTTCCCAATACGGAGTTCTCGAATCAAGTTCCGGGCTGTTTCTCTGTACTGTTTCCGCATCTTACGGTAGATCTCCGGATAATAAACGCCTCGCACAATGGACCGTGGATCTTTGAATAACGGCGCGGAAGAGGAGGCTAACAATAATTTACTTCATGAAGAATTTTTGCCGTTCGTCGTCGTAGTTTTGGAGTGTTCTTGCGCACATCTCCAAAACCCCAGGTCGATACTTTATTTATTCAAGGGCTAGGAAAAAAAAAACTGGATGAAGAGATCTACTATGAGTTAATTTGTTTTTATATCCGCCGGAATTCCTGTAGAAAAAGAAGGGACAAAACCCTGAATAATGATTAGCGATCATTTCTCGTCTAACGACGTGAAACATTGAAGAGCTTTCCACTTCACCAACAACTGCATTTCCCCGAAAAAAAAAACAAATCGATAGACAAACACAATATAAATTCTCTCATATGATGAAGATCCGTTTTTGGTCAATTCACGAAGACAATACGATCCTCGACTATAAATTCATCAACCGTTGCAAATTTAGAGCAATATTGCTTTTGCTGACATTAAAAAAAAAACGCGCGAGACGTTAAAAAAGACCACGTGGTCTTCGGGAAACTTCATTTTTAGACTCGGATCCTCTTCGATCCAGTATTTTCTAACAAAACAAAAAAACCTCACTTCGTGTAAGAAAACCGAGGGTCCAAAACACGATTGCGAATAACACGTGCGGTATCATCCAATATCTTCCATGAAATCAGGGTCAAGTATGAAAAAAAGTCGTTTGCGTTACAAGAACACAATCATTGCGAAGATGGTGAATTTCATGATTTTAAATCGACTGCGCCAAAATGCCGTGAATATATACTGATACTCGGCTGCTCTGATCAGAACTTGTTCACCCTTAATTTCAAAGCGAGATCCATTAATCGTTTCCATTAAAAAAATCAGAACAGGAATTCCTGTTCCCCAAGATGCGTCCGTTTTTTGCTTGAAAAAGAAAATAAAAAGAAAAGAAGCTGGCATACACGAAGTGCGCTGAGCAACTTTTCCGCTGGACGTGGTTAATGCGTCGGGTAGTTCGTTATTTTATCTTTGTACTACCAGAAACGGAACGAAGACCGCAACGTTTCAGCTAATAATCGCGCATTTGGCCGCGGGAAACCTCGATCCACCTAGAGTGTGGTAACCTGGGAAATCGTCCGGCTTCGTCAAGTAGCTGCCAAGAACACGGGCTTCTTCCGAACTCGCTTCTTATCCAGCAAATACGAAATGTCCACGGGATCAAGATTCGGTGGTTGGGATGCTAAAAGTCGCTTCAAAACTGTCTCCAGTGCCTTGCGTGGCATTTTCATCAATTTTCCAGGTACCTAGAAATAATAAGATTTCGGACACGTTCACCTAATTTTCGGATGCCTGATTACCACAAGGCACGAACAAACAGTTTTCACGATTTCAAGAAAAATTACCGCATCTAATCCTTTCAAGACAAGACTCTGAAAGATCATCTGAACCATTAATCGTCCTTCACGTTTCTTAATTTTAAAATACTCAATTTACCTACTACATTATGAGCAATGGGAGAAAACAAAATCAGTCACTCCAACACCCCATCTCCCCTTCCAACACTTAATGACTTCGAAGTTGATTTTATTTTTTTAAATGTCGGGATGAAGAAAAAAACAAAACGAGACAAATGTTACAATTCGGTGCGTTTCTTTTCGATGCTGATAGGAAATCCATCTTAATTTTTTGCTCGCCTACTTGCGAAGGGGATTTTTAATGCGTGATGTTCGACTAGTACGAGTACCGTTTATTGTCACTTTGAAGTCAGATAGCTAGTATTTAAAGAGGATATCTGCGGAATCACTGGTCTGATCTAATCAATCGATTCCAAAAATCCTGCAAAACGCGACAAGATGTAACACTCTTCCAGCGACACCTGTCCAAGACGACATAAAAACACAAAATCAGTATTGTCGGGCGTACAGAGAAGGATTCATTCGTTTTCGGCCATTCCAAACATGATTACGAAAAGCAGAACGAAGAAAATAAATGGGATCTCACCAAGAAATGATCAATACAGAAAATTTCACGAAAATCACTCGAAAAAGAAGTACTGTAGCTAAAATACGAACCTTTTCCACTTTCTCCACGGATTCTGACTGAGTTCCGTTAGATTTTTTTGACTTGCGTTTGCTGCCCTCAACACTGGCTTGTCTCTTCAACTGATGCTTTTTTTCTCCCACACGAACTTTCGGGCGACCTCTGCCGGACCCATCAGGGGCAACGGGCTTCGGCTGCAGTTCCGGCGGAATCTCGTGCGGCGCAAAATCTCGCGTCAGCTTCAACTTCTCAGGGAACTTCTCGAAAGCGTACGACTTCAAATTCACCGGCACCTAAATTTGAAAAACATTACAAGAAATGTGATCAACATATTGAACCAACGATCCTTCTCGGAAGTCTCGAGCATTTGCATGAAAAGCCATGAGCCAGAAACGAAGATTTTGCCAATACAAGAAACATTCGTGGATTGCTACAGCACGTACCCAAAATTCAACATTGCATTCCACCAAAAAATAGGCCTTCAAAAGTTTTTTCTACCCTATAAAGCATAAAACTGCCAAGCGTCACTTTTTAGCTAAAAAATAAAAAAATTTAGTAGATTAAAAAATTAATCTAAAAAACCACGTTTTGAAAAAATTTGATCCGGACAAACAAACGGACAAGAAAGCAAGTTAATAAAAACGTGTTAAAAAATGGACGAGGGTTCATCAAGATTTTATAGGGTGAGGTGGAAAACTTGAGTCCGATCCTCCAAAAACTCATTCAAAAAAGGCTAAATTCTCTGAGATTTCGCTTGAATCTTGATTTCTCAGCACCCTCACATTCTTGCAGAACAAACAGCAGTCATTTCACAAAAGCAATGCGAAATACAATTTATGGACTCTCACCTTCATCTTCGAAATGCGAGAAAAGATGCGAGCGTTTTTGTCCACGCGGAATTCGCACACGTAGCAGTGTTCTTCGATACAACTCACTGGCCTTCCGATGAAATATGACTTGGCATCAAGGACCCAGCAGCGACCAACAAGCAGCCTCAAAGGAATAACTTCATAAATTGGTACACGGACGATTTCATTGGAGTAGAATTTTCGGGAGGGTTCGTGATACGTTTCATGGGGTCTGAGGTAGTGGTGCCCGAATGCCAAACTGCTTCCTCTGAAAGAAAAAGTCAAAAATACCGCAATGAACATGAGGTTTGTCTCAGGTAGGATGAACTAAAAGCATTCCTAAGCATTCGTTGACAAGCATCACACGATTTCAAAACAAGAAAGCAATTCAAGGATTGGCCACACGACACATACACTACTTCCAACTATTTCATCAAACAGATAATGTTCATGATCTGTTTGATTTGGGTTAGGATAATTTTAATGAAAAAAGGCGGAGAACGAGTCGCGTTAGAGCACTCAGTTCCCAAAGTATAAAAATTCGTTACTCACTCATTGTTTTTCCAAAGTTTTTCGATGCAGAAAATATCGTATTTCTCCGCGTTGAAACCGCCTTCCGAATATGTCCGACGCGCGTGAGCAATTTCCGCTTCTTGCTTCTCAGCTGGAACTTCCCGCATGACGTACATGTAATCCGCTGTGATCAAATTACGACTATGAAAACAGAACGTGTCCCCAACGATTTTTGTCGTGATTTTTAATTTCATCAATTTATCGTTCAATTCCCTCGTCAAGATGCTAACGCTAATTACTGAATTAGCACAGCAGAAAGGTAAGAATGTGAATAAAATAAATTAAAGGAGGAAACACACAGGAATTTCATTCCTAGTTTAAAAAAAAATACTCACTCTGACGAATTTGTAAGCCGTCATCGCGTAGAAGGGTATAATAGAATGTGACTAGTTCTCCGGTAGTTGGGGACGGGGAAGGCGATGCCGGTTGCACAGGAATCTCGAAACAAACATCCCTCTTGTCACACTGCTCGCACAAATAGCTATCGTTTGCAGTTTGTCCGGGTCTCTTCGTCGGGGTCTGCATTTCATCGCCAGTACTTTTATTCCACCTGAAAATTCAACAATGAAATTATACGAATTGAAGTGGACTCAGTGAATGACTGAGATAAAGCTAAGCATAAAAGTACATCAATCAAGCAGAGCATAGCAAAATAAATTCGCGGAGTGTCTGATTTCCAAGCGCAACTACACGATAATTTCATATTATTTTCTTCTTTTTCGCGTTGATTCACTTTTCCGGCACACTTTTTGCCTATTCAACCAATCATGTCTGACTATTCGGACAATCAATCACACGATTCAATATTGGATTCCGTCACGCATCCTTGGACGCGTAATGAATGATGCAATGGTGACTAACTTTGTTCTATCATCCACGGTAGGAATTTCAGGGTGAGTGAAATACAGAAAAAAGTTTCAAGGAAAAAAATTAAGTTATGGATTAATGTACTGTACAGTACTCGTAACATCTCAAGTTAAGAGCCGAACTCCAAAATGAATAACAGGACAAAACTATTAAAAATTATACTGTGCACGGAGATCCCGCGGTGATGTACCCGTGAGTCATTCTTTCATAATACTGTACTCTCGGACAAAATATAATTTCATCGTATGTTGCTCCACCTTTCTCTCTTTTTGGCAGAAAGATTTGATGAGTGACATATGAGTGACATTTTGCAGAGTAAAATAATCGTAGTTAGATCGTGGATTTAGTCAACAGTTCGGACAAGCGTGATCTGCATTAAAAGCAATTGCATCACAAAAATGTCTGGAAAGAGCCAGATTAAATGGACTTACCCAATACATTCCGCGTGTTGCCACACAAGACATCGTTCGCACTGGATCATCAATCCTTCTTCACGGAACATTCCACATATGCAGCGAACGACGTCGTCACTAAACGCAACGTCTTTGGCTTCAGTACCTGATAAATGGCTCACGACTTTCGGGGGAATGAAAGATGCCGGAACAGGGCCACCTAATATTTCTTCCAGCGGTGATTGCACATCACGTTTCGCTTCTTCGTAAAGCTTCTTCAGCTGAGACGCTTTTACCGCTTCCTCAGATCCCCATCCGTAATGTTTCTGCGAAGGAGTAGAAGAGGACGAAAATTGATCACTTGGCCACGAACGATTTAATTTTTAGGACAAGAATGAGCCCGTGCTTGAAAACGGCAAAATAACTCAACACCCGAGAAATATTTTCAGCCATCAGTTTTTTTGTTCCATACTGGCCTAAAAACAGTGATATCCAGGTCTAAAACTAAGTTAAAATATTGCTTTATAAACGCAGTGAATTCCATCAGAAAAAGAAAAAAAAATGCAGAGAAAAGACTAACTTGGTAGGAGGAGAACATCCGAAGAAAATCCTTGTCAAAAGCATCCACCGTCGTATATTGTCCGGTCATCAAGTTCTTCTCGATTGTCGACAAATCGACAGCATCCGGATACTTAACATGGAATTCCGGGCACTTCCTCTTCGTAGGAACAGAAATGAACATTTCGCTCAATTTCTTTTCTCCATCAGAATCTGAAATCAATCAATAGAATCAACACTACGCTGGGCACGGGTGTGGGGCACTTATGTTAATTATGTGTTAATTTTGAGATTCTAGTGAGCAACTTTCAGTCCTTTTCCTTTTGCCGCCCAGCCCCAACAACTATCGTAATGTTTTTTCAAAAGTTACATCCGCCAAGTGTCACCTGAGTAGTTCAAGCTTTGCTTGATGCAAGTTGGATTTTCTTAAATAAGTAATGCAGACATTTCCGACATTCCGGACAGCCGTGCTGGGGTTTGAATCAAGAGGAATAAACCTCTTTTCCATTTTAAAGCTATGTATAGGGGGACAGTTCATAATCTGAACTTCGAAGAATATTACCTGGAGCGTTTGTGACAGTGGCATGAATCTCCCTGAAGACTTGTGCGAGTCGGGCAGTTTTGGCTATGTCCGGATTATCATCAACCAAGGCCAACCTTCGGGTTCTCATGGACCTCGCCGTATGCAATGCATTGAAGTGGCTCAGAAAAGCTTCATTCACTTTGCCCTGCTCCGATCCGTTTCCTCCGTTGGGGCCATTCGATGGCCCAGCTTTCAATTCTTCGTGAGAATTCCCGGAAATTGGGTCCGCGACTCCCAGATTCACAAGGTTTAAAAATTCTCTCACGCGACGGATTTTACCGTAATTCCGCTTCAAAAAGCATCGCTTAATCTGTAAAAGCTGCTTTTCGTCGTTGGTCAACAAGCGTGGGACGTACAGAGCCGGAGCGACGATCTTTTTTGGTTTCTTCTCGCTTACGGTTGCTCCATCCTTCGGGACACGAGTTTGCGTTTTCCCACCAATGACTCCGCGACAATTCTCCTTCCCGCATTTGCATTCTTGGCCTTGCGTGTGATCAAAAAGCGAAAAGTTGTAATCGTAGCCGAGTTCTTCCTCGCTTCCAATGTCGCGTTTTGCGAACAAAGCCATCCGGTGGAGTCCGTTCACCAGCCACTTTTGCATCTCACAATTCGGATCACATGAGTGGTTCACGAAACGAGCTGAAAAATCCAAGATAATCATCATTACGTGAAACAAAAACTCTCATCATACTGTATAATGTTCTTCGTCTTTAAACCACTAATCAAGTTTCCTGGCCATACTAACGTCATCACTGAAATATAAGATAGAAGTCCCCGCAAAATTTGGCTTGATAAAAAAAATACGTGCGTATTAAAATCGACAGCTTTACGCGAAGTACAGTATCGCACACGATTTCACGCAGTCTTTTCGAGATATGAATATGTTAGCGGACACCTTATGGGTAATAACTACAGTACAGTATTGGCAGCAGTTCAACTCAAATGAAGGAGAATAGTACAGTAGTTCGTGAACGATGCAGAATTCCGAAGCAGTGTGCGCTTCAGAGTTGGGTCTTTCTTTATTCGGTTACATCTGTCATTACCTCGTGACTCTTTCCAGAACTACATACAGTACTGTACAGTACAACTATGCTGTACAACGTTAATTTACCTCTTCCGTCACATTTCGTCCCCTTCCGTCTACATCATGCACTATGCTCCATGCTAGGAAACCTCGCTTATCACTAATTACAGCCCTGATTTTCACGAAACCAACATCCAACTTGATCTTATAAGATATTCCGATTTTTAACACAGTAAATCGAAGGTCTACAGGAAGTTTGAAAAGATTCCGATGAATTGATTCGAACATATTCACCTTCTCCTCCCATACGATGCCCGTCAATCACAAGCCCTCGGTCCAAATTCAGACAATAATGATGCACGTCGTTGTGGTATCGCATTACCATTCGATCTCTGAATTCCTTTTCACTCACAACTTCTCCCAAGTACTCCATTATAAACTCTCCGGCCGAGATCGGCTTGGTCGACCGAATGCCCCAGCCCTTGGAATCTGTCATAAACCTTTGTAAATTCTGTGCCCACTGATGCTTCTTAATCCTCTGATTAGAACACTTTTGACCGCACGGACACACGTTTGGAGCGCATTCGGCGTAAATCATTCGGTTGAGACAGTCTTCGCCGCAACCTTGGGCGTCACCCTCGGGACATTTACAACTGCAGATCGGAACTTCCTGGGGATTCGGTTTAACGTCGTAATAAACGTTTGTCTTGATTTCGCGGTAGTTCCAAGACTGGATCGTGTGGCGCACCTTCTTGCGCGGACGACTGCGAGTGGGATCATTTACAGGAACATCGGCTAATTCCGGTCTCTCTTGCTTTTCTGTAACTTTGGAAAATAGAAAACGAATGATTGAACTCATTCTCGCTGACCAAGAAAAAGCGAATTTTGAATTTTAAAACTGATCACACAACGAACTAAGATAACACTGTACCGTACATCACATTCATAACTCAAAGGAAACTGCATTGTAAGCACCTATATGCACATATATCTACCTGGTTTAGGTTTCGAAGGAGACGGAACTGGTTTACTGGTTTCTGGCGATGAAGTACGGTTCCATATTTTATATGGAAGAAGAAAGTTGGTTTCCTGGTCGAGGAGCCAGCGTCCGCAATGCTCCGGAAGTGGAAGCGTTGGATGGCACTTTTTGGTTTCCTTCTGCGTCTCACTCTCTTTTGTGCTCCTAAAATCACACAGAAGTAGATATTCAGTCCCATTCCCGAAAAAATTTCACTAAAATTGCAAGTTCTTGCATTTTTGTGGATTAGCTCAATTTCGTCAGAAATTAGTCAGAAATATACATTTCGAAATTATCTGTTCATTCATAAAGCAAAACATTAGCGTGAAATTTGGGTTTACTTCATTCGACGACTTGGGTTCATCAACTGAACAGGAATATACAGCCACTGATCATGCCGTTAATTTTAAAACGAACTGCAGTACAGAACAGAATATTCAACATCGTACCTTGGCCGCTTGAAATCATCCGCGAACAGTCCAGCTTTCAAGTATTTCTTGGCCTTTGCCTTTCCTTTGGATTTTGATGCTGTAACAGGCTTGACTTCACTAATAAGATTTTTCTTTTTAATTTCCTGTATCACTTCGTCGCATTTTTCCATCTTGACTTCGGGTTGAGGCTGCTCTGTTTTCACGTGAATAACGCGTTTCCGCGTCGGAAGAATATTGTTAGGATCAATAATAGCTGGAAGCGTCCTTGGTCCTTCATCCAACTTTGGCTTCGGGGCAACCTCAACTTTCGGAATTTCTGTTGGAGCCGCTGCTTTCCTCGACGGCAGAGATTTAGGGGGTGGTATTTCGACTTTCTTTACAGGAACAGACGTTTTTAACTCCAGCTTTGTAATTTCGAGAGGTTGTGATTTTTGTTCAGTCTTCGAGGAAAGAGGAGGTCTACCACGACCACGCTTCACGACAGGAGGAGGTGGAGGAACCGAAGTGGGCGGTGGTGATGGCGTAGGTGGCGCTGGTGGCGATTGAATATCTTCCACAGATTCTGAAGGAGAGTCGGTACTTCGGCAGCCCTCGTTTGTTCTCCGTTTTCTCCGAACAGATGGAAATCCAGTTCTATTGATCCTTCTTCTCGGCTTTTTCCTTAAATGCTCCGAATCCGAGTGCACTTCCTTGATTTCGGGGACAACCGATATTTTCTTGATGATGCTCTCTTTGCTTTTCCGCTTCCCGGATCCAACTTTTTTTGAAACAGGGGAAACGCTAGGTGGCAACTGAGGAACACTTTCGGACGGTTGCGCGTTGCATGACACCAACGAAGTCAGACGAGAAACCACGTCCATTAATCCTGGTTTTGACGGGGTTTCCAAACTTTTGGCAGGTTTCTTCGGTTCAGTAACAGAAGATAAAATTGAAAGCGGAGAGGGTTTGGTAGTTTCCAAAGGCATTTGCCTGTGACGTTTCTTCGGCGGCAGGGAAACGACTGGTTCAGGAACATTATCACCTCCAGTCGGTTTCCGAACCCTTCTCTTTGGTAATTTTTCAGCAGCTAAAGGAGCAGAATTCACTTTCGTAGGTTCCGGAAAGTCGAATAAATGTGGAAACATGCGGGGAAGGGCATGGAAAGCACTAGTGATATCTGATGAACATTTTTCCACGGTTTTCGGACATGCCTTTTCAAATTCGAGCCAGTTTTTCCGTCTGCGACGAAATTTGCAAGCTGTGAACACTTTCGGGATTTCTTTGGACGAATGAGACAACAGAAGACGGGATATTGCAAGTTTTTCAAATTCCGGCACGATTTCTCCAACTGTCTTGTCGATTCCTTTTCGCAGCTTCTTCTCTTTATGCTTTTTCTTTCGGCGAAGTTTTGGCTTTTCTGAAGGGTTTTTCGCTCTCAATTTGGCTTCCGCTGCTCGCTTGCTACAGAACTTCTCAACAAGACTCATGGCATCCATCATTTGCAGAGATTCGTTTTGAGAGGAAGGGGGCTCAGATTGTCTGATTTTATGTGGCTCTGATTTTTTGTTGGAAGACTTCGAAGAATTCATCTTCGAATGCTTTGAATGCCTAATGTGAGAATCTGAGCTTTCAACCGGAACCTTCCGCTTTCTACCACGCTTTTTAGGGGCAGAGTTTGTGTCCGAGATTTCTGGATCTTTCTGGAGAGTCACGGAACGAGCTGGACGACGTCGGACACGACTAACTTCTTCTTCCTCTTCTTCAACTTCGTCTACCCCACGATCCGGGTACGTGAACTGATCTTCAATTACCTTGATCGCTTCACTCACGAGATTCGTACTATCATTGATGTTAGCAGAGTTCTCATTGATAGGAATAGCGATGTCACTTCCTGAATCACTATCGATGAATTCGAACGTAACACGCTCTGGTTCACTTATGGATGGATGCGGCGATTTCTCAGGCGTTCTCGGCAAAAGGTCCTCAGTGCTCTGGTCCACGGGTTCCGCGGATATTTCCGGAAGGAGGCGGATACATTTTCGCTGCGCGGCGGTCAAACGAGGGGCACTTGGGGGCTCAGGAGAAACTAGACGTGCTCCCATTGAATCTTTCGTTCGCACCAGAGGATCCTTATCGTTTCGAATCTTCGAATTTTTCGGCTTGATATCCGAATCACCAGAGAAATTTTTACTACTGTGTTTCCCATCACGTCTCGGAGTAGGAGATCGTGAAGGTTGTGGAGTTGATGAAGTGGAAGATGAAGAACTGGACGAAGTCGAACTTGATGATGTGGACGAACCCGACGATCCAGAGTTTGAAGAGCCAGAATTTTCGCCGTCGGATGATTCACTGGACGACGAAGACGAAGATTCAGAACGATGGCGAAGTTTCTTGGCATCGTGCGAACGTCTTTTTACGTTCTTCGCTTTTTTATCGTTCCCACATTCTTCACTCTTGATCGGTTTAATATTTCGCAATTGCTTGCTTTTACTTTCCGACGAAGATGAAGAAAGACGAGTGTCCGTCGAAGCGACTAAGGCGACGGACCCCACAGTTGTTCCCGGTATCGGATGTTCATCCTCGCTCTCCGAAGTAGTTTCCCCCTCTGCATCATAGTTAGAATCTTCTTCCCCCGGCATACACCAGCTAAGACGCGTAGATACCAAAGAAACAATTTCGTAGATGAATGAAGAAAATATATCCACTGGCTTCATCAGACAACAAGCCGAACATTCTTCGATAACAACTCTAAAATGCAGGTAACCAAATGATCTTATCAAGGCGAAGAACGTAACGGTGAACACTTCACGGAATAATTGGTGGATCGAAATTTTCTCTTCGCAATTAAAATATCTTTTGTTATACTGTATTTGGTTTCCCTCCCAGAATTGGCAGTCAAAAATCACGGTACGTCTCAAGACTCGAGTAAGTACGATGCGGAACTGCAATACCAAGCTAGTTACATGTACCATGAAAACTGACGAATTACTGCATTAAAAAGGAAATTAATGAAACATGTAATCGAATGCCTCACCTCTTTTCATCGATTGCCAAGAGAGGAGTGGTGTGTGGGGGAGAATCTTGAAGGGCTCTCATGTCAACGGTTGAAGCAAGAGGACTATCATCATCGCTCCCACCGCTCTGCGACAGCCAATCCGTAGATCGTACACTTAACGGTGGATCATGAGCGTTTGAAACAAGAGGAAGAATATAGGGAGGCGGGAAGCAATGTTCGTTCATGTCGAGGCGATCAAGAGCTGCGAAGGCACTTCCAGGTTGAGGCACGGCCATTACATCGATCCATTCGATCTGAATACAAATTTTGAGATTAAGCATCTGTCACAATTCCCGATTTCGAGGAACTCACCTTTTTGATGAATAAACGAGTACCCAAGCAGGTCTCATTCGCATCATGAGATTCCTACGTGATGACGCGCACACAAACAAACTTCGTTGTCACATCTAGATTTGAGAGGGACACAAAGATAATTACTCACGCAACTCGTGAAATGGTTTTCGTGAACAGGAAGGTGCATGGAAAATATGGATATCAATCGGAAAACCCATGTAATCAATTCATCGCATATCCATGCACGACGGCTTTATCAGAAATGAATGGAAACAGGACGAACTTCATGGACCGAAACAATTGTTGAAGTGAGCACCTGCAAACAGAAGCCTAGATTTGAAAATCGAAGCGATATTGCATTCAAAGAGAAAGAAACTAGACAAAAACGTTTTAATATCCGTCTAGACAAGAAACTGACTGTCGAACCACGTAAGGTTACTGAACTTACACCCACACACGAAAATTCTCCTTCCAGCTCCGTTTTTCGCTCTACACTACAGTACTATGCATGGAGACAAAACACTATGCAAGCACTTGAACACGTCTCAATGCGACGACAGATGTAATCCATCACAACACTGCAGTGATGTCACTCGAGGAATTTAATTAAGCTTCAACTTCGCGAGTACAATCCTCCAACATCGGCAAAGGCCCGGAAAGGCCTAGCTTGCTGATGGCTACTTTTGATTCGAAAGCGTCGGCCCCTGTTGTTCTCCAATGAAGGGCCAAAATGAAACGGAATCTCACGCGTTGGAATAAACATTGGGTTACTTGAACATTTCAAACCTGAAAGAAATCTTTTATTCTAGATGTCACTGCAATATCCACAGTTGGAATTTTTCGAGAAATCTTCCGGCAATTTTCCTGATACGGATTTAAAAAGTTAAAATTGAAAATATTGCATGATTATATTGTTCTGGATTTATTCGCAGGATTAAGTGGGTTTTTTAAACTTCGTTTTTCAAAGATCTCCCTATATTTACACGTTACTCCCACGTAACGTTAACCTAATGTACGCATAGAAACGTCAAATTCTTGCTGGCCAAGTACAGTAATTATGATCCGGGAAAAATTTCATGCAAATCACAATCAAATATTTTTCATTGCCGGAAATAAGCTGAATTTTCTCGAAAGTAAATATGGATTGATTCGGCTTTTATAAATTTTACGTACGTTTTCATATATATTTTTGTATTACTATACCTGCTGGCTGCTGCTGATATTATATCAGCAGTTTAAATTCCAATATGATTGCTGCTGAAGATTTTCAATTTTCGGTTCTAATGATCTAATTTTTCTAACTCAACCAAAAGAAAGAAAACCTTCATTTCTGCATGGTTAAAATAGGAGGAACTGGACGAGTTATTATCTTCAATATTTCCCCACCTTTAAAATCGTTCTTAATTGACTGCTGAGCCGTTCAAACGAATCACCAGTCGATAAAATTAGCTACCTGCAATCCCATTATACAGTACAGTATTAGAATTGGTACTTCGGTAGCTCCATGATAATATGTTTCAAGGACTACAACTTAAAATAACGTCACCTAATCCAGCCTGACCGTACCGAGATTTGCTGTTCTGATGTTTTCCATCATCAAATTATTTTACTTCCTACAGGTGCTCTTTTGAATTGTGCTTTTTCTTGACTCTGATCAAGTGCTGGCTTAGAGCTTTGGCGGTTAAGAGTTATGCTCCGGCGAGAAAGGGTTCCATCGTAAATTCAATCAGGACTATGTACATACTAAAAGGATAACAGTCCTAGGAATGCACCATCCGGGTGGGTAAAAATTGATTGTACATAGAGAGAATGAACTGAGAAAAACCCAGTCGGACGGCCGGTACGTTGACAAATTCGAAAGTGAGATGTCGCCGTTTGTATAGCGCCAGGCGCAGCGCCTGGTCTTGTCGATCCCAATGGGTTCATATCTGCGGTACATGTGCGGCATTGCGATACACAGGAACCTGGGTGCGGATTCCTACAGGGGAACCTGCCCCAAACAGTAAGATCTGGACTTCGAACGGCCCTGAAAAATCACCTGGACAGGCCCTCTCCGAAGTGGGACAGTGTACTATGCAGAGAATTGCATACAAAACCCAGTACTGTACTGTATCTGGAAATTCATACCTGGATTAGGTATGTAGGTGGACTTCCGCTCCTACAAAATTCAAGGGAAAAAATAATTTCAGAGAACCCCTAGAATTAGATTCCTAGAACATGGCAAGAGAATCCTGTGCAACATGCAAAAATTACTTTTAAAGAGACAACTGTAGACAAAAACATTGTGAACAGAATTCACCTACCCCAACAGTACATACTACCTCAACTGGATCAGTCATTCCCTTGACAGTGCAAAAAGCTGAAGATTAACCGAACAGAGAAAATGCTGCTTTTGTGAGAAAAAATTATACATCCAACTTACATGGGAGATTCAAATCTTCCTGGAAGACAAATACTGCTGCTAAACAAAATAAAAAATGTAATAACGCAATTTATTGATTAACCCATTCCATAATCCTCGCAGAGGGTGAGGGTAGACCATGGAATCGTGGACTGCGTTTCAAATTAAAAGACTTGGAAAATTGCAAGGATGAATACAGAACTTACACCAGTTGACTCAAATTAAGGTTGATATGATTTGGCTTTTCCGTTGGTTACATACAATACAGAATTTTTATAATCGCAGGAATTTCGGGTTGCTGAGCTATTTGAAAATTTCTGCCACCAAAAAAAAAATTGCCCGTTTGCTCAATTTAGGCTTGAAATAAATCAGTTTTCATCATTAAAATATCAAACCGATCATTCATTCTGCGGTTGGCAATCGAAGTAAAGAAGCTGATCTGTAATCCTGAAAGATGCCCAAACCTGGAGTACACCGCGATGCGTGCTAAATTGCGTAGCAACTTCAGTAAATTCCTTCTACGAAACACTCCCAGGAACTTGGGGAAAGCAAGTGTTCATTATTTAAACTTCAAGCCAAGTGAGAATTTAGAAGCATGTTTTCGGGACATGAAACTAAACTTCCGTTCAAGTATCGGATAAAACAAAGGCGCGGCTTCTCACAATTTGAAGGCAATTTCTGCCTACCACCGGAGTGAATCAAACGTCTACGACCAACCCGACCAATTGCTGTAAGAATCCTCTCACTTTGTTCAACGATGACACCGCTTTGAAGAGTGAAAAGATAAAGACGAAGGCCTTGAAACCATCGAAATAAAATTTCTTTCACAACGTTTCGATGGTAAGGAATAGAAGTTCAGGAATGCGCCAGAAATGCTTCAGTCACAAGCAGCAGTGTGCAAGAAAAAAATAGTTCGTCACGGTATCCTTTAAAGAGTTCTTCGAAAGTAATTTCATAAACACACCTCTTTACTTACTTCGCAAAGCAGAAAAAATATCGGAAAAATCTCCTGATGCGCGTGCTATTCGCTTAGCGTGATTCAAGCGTCAGAACATAAGAGCGCCTGAAATGTCAAAGCATTTCTTTCGAATATCATGGCCTGGACTGGTTCACAAATTGCGACAGGAGAATATCGAATGGAAAATATGGGATATATGCCGCGAACATCACATTAGGATCCGTATTACCACAAAAACGAAGATCGTGAAATAATTGCACCACTTCCAAAACCGCCGCGAATTTCCGGATTGTCCAAAAGAATGATCCATACTCCATGATCTCACAACTCGAAAGATTTCACACAGTTTCGTAGCTGTTTCGAACGGATTTTGACAAGCGCCAGGCTAGTAAAATGCCGACGATCTGCATACAGAGGGAAAATTTGTTATTTAATTTGACTGTAAGATTACCAGTAGAATAACGTACCTGAACAAAAGCAATGCCGATGCCGATTCCGCCGATGATAGCGATATTTCCGTTTACCTTGGACGTCAGCGTCGGTAGGCATGCTACTTCATGAAACGAGGGTGAGGACGGCTCACAAACGGAGTCCAAATTTGTCGAGCCACAGCAGCTTTTAGGATACTTCGATAAATGCTGATTCCAGTCCTTGTAATCCTTCACTCCACAGCACTTCAGCTATAAGTTTATCAATGCATAATATAAAGCAGAAAATATTTGCAACGGTACCCTCAAGTTTCAGAACACAAAGGACTCAATAATTGCGAATTACCCAAATATTTTGAATCCCTCAGAACAAGTTCTCACTTGTTCTGAGGGCCGGAGCATTAGCAGGAGGAACACGAAGTTGTTAGCGCGACAAACCTCAATCTGCATTTCATCCCAAGCTTTCGTAGGGGCATTTTGATCCGTCTCATTGTACAATTCCATGGTGCCGTTCATGCGATTCGCGATCTCTTGTTCAAGGTCCGAACGCATCACGTAAGCTGTGATTCCAGCGGCGATTTCGAGGATGAAAATAATGACCAGCAGCAAAACGAACTATGATGGAAGACTAGGATCAACACAATTCATGAGCACCCTCAGAAATGCTCGTGTATACCGTGACAAGCATGCAGTTGTTCTCCTTGATCGCACCACAACAGCCGAAAAATGCAATCACGAATATGATCACACCCACGACGATTAAGATGTCCGGAGCCGAAAAGATCTCATGAGGAATGAATGTGGAGTATTTCTTGTACACGGATTCAATCACCGCGCCAGTGATGAGAATCACTAAGCCGGAGAGCTGAGAAGATTTGAAGGAATACAACTCTGGCAATCGCATTACAAATCTGAAGAGCGCAAATGAGCTCGTACTCACGGCGAAGAGCAGATTGAAGAAAAAGACGAGGAATTTCACAAATCTCATACTACCCGACATGATGGCACGATTCTTCACGTATCTTCGGAACAAAGTTTACTGACTTCCTGACATACGAAAGAAAATTGAACAATGCATCACATGTACGAACAACGATAAAAAAAGGGCGATGGCGGGCAAATCTTTGTCATCTCGGATATTTCCCATAACCATTGCGCAAACCGGATCTCTCATTCAACAGAATTGACTATTTCGTCGCTAATCCCGACGTTCAGGCTTAACCGGTAGACCGTTACACGTTTGAATAACGAGTTTCCAACATCCTTTTCGGTTAGCATAAGCTGATACTATTCAACGGATCCGAAGAACTACGACGGGATATCACAGAATCAACTTCACAAAGGAGTCAAAACCGCGAAAAAATCGTTTTCCGATCGGATTCGAGAATATTCTAAAGAAGCTACGCATAAACTTGGTCCTCTAAGACGAACGAACTTCAGGAAATTCATATACAGTAGCCCGAAATGCACACTTGAATCGAAGAGGCATTCCGCAGAAACAAGGAATTAACCTCCCTAATGTCAACCACACAATGACAGAATCTATCCTGCTCCACGAACATCGGCCTTCAACCGCGGACCGTAGATAACTACGCTTCATAACTCGCGTGACCAGATGAATCCGCCAGGTGACTCACAGCGCGGGTGATTCAAATTGTAAGAAAGAACTACAGTATCCACCGACAGCGTCCGGTTCATGGAGTCTATGCCGTATATGGGTTCCCAAATTCATAATTCTGTATTAACGTTTCACGAATAATCTAAAAGCATCCCATGTGTTAAGAGTCGTCAGCACTCAGCAGTCACACTGCAATACAGTCACGTATACAGTATGTACAATTTTACCTTACAGGTTTTATAAACGTACTGTACTGTATTACATTGCAAACTCTACGTACCTTTAACATTGCTCAAGGTTACGGTCAGTCAAGCGTTGTTTCAATGGCTGAGGGCACTCAACTTTCATATCAATGAGGGCCTGATGAAGACCTAACTGAGAAACATGTACCCTTAAATACCCTTTAAAGTGTAATTAATTTTGCTGGGCGCAGTTCGAGACGCATTTTCAACAAATATATAGGGCCGCTCAACTTACCGTATTTACCATATGGTACTGATGTACCTAGTGCTCTCAAGTAGGACCATTCACCAGAATTTTTCAGTGGGAAATTTTCATGAAAATGTCTCCCAGTATAAGAGGCACATCCCATATTTAGTTACTCTAAAACCTAAATATTAAAAGAATAAAAAACCGTAAACTGAATTTAGGCATGAGTGAGTCTACTGAATTCAGCTAATTTTCAATTGCTTCTGTTTTAAGCTAAGTTTTACTGTTAAAATTGGTTCAATATTTCCCATTAGAATCAATAAGTACAGTATGTATAATGCTCACCTAATTTCTAAAACTGTTCGAAAATTTTATACTTGTCTATTACTCAGACCCCCTTTTGCCTTTTCCCTCACACAGAGGTGTGTGTGTGGTAAATACTCATTTATTGAATACGGTATATGGCATTTTCCTGCCTTCCATAAATGTATGGTTAGTGTGGTGGACGTCCACCACGCGGCAAAAAAAAACCAATTTATGCAATGACTATTTTAAAAATTTAATGGATCCAAATAACATGCTCCGTATTATTGCTTTGAGCTTGCTGTACGTTCCCCCTTCTTGCTAGTCCAATTTTAGTTTGGGGTGTGAGGACCCTCTGCTGTGTTTTGTTTATAGTTTCGCGATCCCCTCCATTCACGCATCACTTCTATAGTGCAAGCAAGGGAATCACCAAACTTACAGCAGCAAGTCTTGAATAACTGCAGAAAAAACGATCTCCACAAGTTCTGCGGTTCGCAGTAAATTGGGGAAATATTTTTTCAGAGCCGAATAAAAGTGTTTTAAGAATACATTTATTTGCAGAAATCTTGGGAAATAAGGAACCTGTAGAAAAAAGGGGAATACTGTATCTTACTGAGGAAAGAAGCAAAAGCGGCAAAAAAAAGCTGTTTGGTGAAAGTTACCATGATGATCATGAATGGCTTTAATACCTATCGTTAATAATTTCAGCACTTTGTACTCGAATGAAAATAATTTAAATAATTAACTTGTTTTAAATACAGTTGTTAAAGTCTGGCCTTGTTTACAAGATAGTAAATGTCGAAGAAAATGCAACGACATCATAATGGAAGACCAGCAATGCTTTTGCAATCATATGATGTATAGTACAGTAGCTAAAAAAAAACACGAACACACACACAAAGATGAGCAAGATTATTTTCTTTTGAAAATAGTTGACAACTCTTAAATGATCTGCTAGAATAAAAAACAACGCCCATTCAGGTTACTTTAAACTTGTGCTGTTCAGTGAAAGTTATCACTGAAGTAACAGTTTATGCGAACATCCCTCAATGAGTCAATATGCTTCAAATCCGTCTGATTTAAGCAGCAAAAAAATCATTTAGAAAAATCCCGCGTTTTGTTTGTGCTTAAGAAACTTACCAGCATATGAGTTTGGTACCTTACTTCAAATAAGTATACAGTATATGGACCACACAAAAAAAGTGACACATGCATTAAGAAGGTCAGGCGAAGCCTTTTTTTTGGAAAATGTTTCTGTTGTTAATGTATACATTAATTAACATTCACAATAAGTGAGACTGTGTTTATAGGCCTTCTCTGTAATTTAACATGTGAATTACAAACACTTTCGTATGCTCAAGCCAAATTAGCTCCATATGACAAGAGCAGCCCACAATTACATCTCTGATGGTGAATATTCCAAGACCCAGGTTTCAAGCCAAATTTTAAAGGTCGAAAGATGGCATTAATCTGCGTTACAACTGATTCCTCCGGATCAAGATTCTTCCTTGCCATCAGATCCGTGAGTGGTAATGTGTTATTCTAGCAAAAATAATAAACACAGTCACCATATCACGCACTCTCACTGAAGCTGCAAAGTGAAGTCACTGTGCAAGATGTTTTCTGCACATCTCCTTCCCACTGTTGAGTTGGTTCTTACACGGGAGCCAATGATATAAACAAGAAGGGAGTGCGAAGGCAACTGCATGAGGGAGTGCAAGGTTAACCCATGGGGATGGATGGCATATGGGGTGTCGTGTCCATCCGTTGCTGAGGTTTTTGAGCTGACGCTGCCTTGGGTGCATGTGCTTGGCTGGCCCCATATCCAAGCAATAAAGGAATAAAATTCTACGAATGTGCTGCCCAACTCAGATGTAGTTATTTACATGGGCCGCATTAACAAATGGATCTTTTTTTTTTTGTGGGCAAGGACCAAATTGTTGAGGTGACCATGTAGGTCAAAATATACCATTTTTAGGTTCAAAATTTTACCCTACTATGCAGTGGAAAAATTCAAAAAGCACTCATGCAGTGCTTTGCATTGAATCAAGAGTACTCATAGCATTGAGGAATTTTTGAAGCATGGAGCAACATTTTGAATTTTTTAAATATAGTGGAAAAGTGGAAAAGCAATTTCCGTAATTTGAACATCGGTCGTGGCTGCCACATATTGAAAATCGTAGGAAGGGATTGAAGGATGAATAAATAGTGTCTGTGGGCCGGATCCGGCCCGCGGGCCGTATGTTGGGCAGCGCTGCTCCCTGAGTTTCAGTGGAGACCAAGTGAATTTTTGGTGGTGATTCCTCACGAGTTTTTTGGTTCTGGGTGCGTTCTTGTGTGTGGTTGAATGGAATAACGCATACTTTTTGTAATGTATTGGATTACAAATGCATTTCTGAACAAACGAAAAATTAAAATTGTCGTGACATTATCTAGTGAGTTCCTGAGAGAAAAGAAGGAACTTCTGTCATGATGAAAGCATAGTAAGACTTATTGTCTCTACACACACAATCAGGTGCTGACACCTTCTTGCACTAACACGTACACAGAGTGGAACACAACAGTAGCGGTTTATTGGCACTCACTCAGGTAGCGGATTATGACTATAACAGTAAACAGTACACACGATAAAAGGCACTGGTTCGCGTGACAACCGCTCGGTTCGGGAGCTATAGACAAAGTGAGGCTCTCTATCGCCTCAGGGGTACGGGCGCGAGTCGGTTGACGCAAGCGCGCGTGTATTGCGTCAGCCGGTTCGGATTGGTGTGGCGTAACAAAGTAAGAAAAACAGTTGATGTTGCATTTTAGGCCTTTGCGCGGGCCATGATGGCGGCGCCTATGGGCCCGCACGGGGGTCGTACTCTCCCCCCCCTAAAAGGAAAGGTGCCGGCGGCGGCAAAAAAACGAGGGAGGAGGAGGCCAAGGCTGACGGTATCGAGAGGGCCGTCGGCGGCGGCGTTTCGGTCGAGGTCCTTGGGCGTCTTGAGATCCTGTTGATGTCCGGTGGCTAGTAGTCGTCGTCAGTAATGGGTCCGGTGCCGTCGAGTGGTTGTGCAAGTGTCCGGCGGCGGGGCTTGATGTCCGTTGGCGCTTCCTCCACTGACGATTCAGAGCTACTGGAGCTGGGGAATCGGCGGCGTTTGCGTCGGTTGTCAGATCCGGATGAGGCAACGGTGTCGGTTCCTGGGGAGGGCTGTCGAATTGTGGAATGTCGACGCTCGATATTGGCGACGTCCCTGTGGGAGTCCGTGGCAGATCGCGGTCTGGCATGACTGTGCCCGGGTTGGGGTCGTTGTATGCTGGACGCGCTGCGGGGGAGCTTGTCACAAGTTGTGCTTCGTCGTCGGATTCGTTCGTAGTGTCGAGTGTTCCTGGGTCCGGGCGAAATTGAGGCCAGTCGGTTTCATCCATATCCTGTGAACAGAAAGAATTTGTACTTTTTTGTTGGATTAGGTGCTTTGGTATGGTCGGGGGTGGCGCAACAGGGAAGTTATAGGCTTGTAACTCCCAGGCATTTGCTTGTCGATCGCCCATTGGGGTTTGGATGCGATATTTTGCCTTGCCGAGGACTGCTGTGATATGGAATGGTCCAAAGCGTTTTGGTAAAAAGCGCTGGTTGGTGGCGTGTTTTTCTGTTGTTTTCAGGCGTGGCCTGAGGGTAAGCATTTGGCCAAGTTTGAATGCGGGTCGGCGGTTTTTATTCGCTTGGTGTATGTAC